CCAGGGTAAAGTTTCCACAGTCAGTGTTTGTTTGGGGGTCCATGTCATCTGCTGGTGTTGGTCCACTGTGTTTTCTGAGGTCCAGGGTCAACTCAGCCATCTACCAGGAATTTATAGAGCACTTCATGCTTCCTGCTGTTGACCACTTTAGTTAAACTTTATAAGTATTGAAACTTTATTTCAATATCTGACCGAAATAAAGCCATTTTTGTGTTGGCTAAAGTTTATTAGCTGTGGTGGAAATCTTGAATTGGGTGTTATAAGTCATAACTCACTGTAAAATTAGCTTTGTGTTGGCTAAGGTTGTTCGGCTGTAGGGGCCATCTTGAACAAACTCCAAATGTTTTACTTTCTGTCATTTTCATTCAAATTTGTCCTCTTGTTCATAAAATATTTTGCYAACAGAAAAATAAACACACAAATTCTTGTTTTTCTGTCTGTGACATCGAGAAAATCATTCCACATCTAAATTGTTTCATCTTCTCTACATTTATTTTTTTTCCCCTGTGATTAAAGCCATGTCTTGTAAAAACTGGCCTTGGACTCTGTACTTATAGGATGCTAAGTGATCTGACATACAGATATTTGCAGAACCATGCAGGCTTGCCTGTAACCSTCCTGCCAATGTACAATCTGACTGGAATATGTGGCGTCAGGAGGCAGAGTCAACACTCGGGCTGCTCAGCGTGGCCTCTGAGCCCATGTTGTGACGTGGGAAGCTCTCTAACTGGCAACAGGCCTTACAGGCTGCATCGCTCTCATCAAGGCTGGCAGTGAGCAACGTGGGTGGTTGAAAATTAAAGTACCCATGACCCCGAACCTAGTGACTTTTAGTAGAAACTGAAAAAACAGATGAGTGTTTCTTTCTTTCTTTTTTTTTCTGGCTGATCTTTTGAATAACATTTGTAATTAATCAAGTATCTGCAACTTTAGATAAAGGCTTTCACCTGTTCAGGGCATTAATGGTTAGAATAGCATGGTACCTCAGAATGTACTCRTTTAGTTTCCTGACTTCTTGTTTTCCACCTCCGACTGTTGGTTCAGTAGAATTGCAGTAATGGGTGCGCACAGCAGCACATCATGTCGATGTGATGTGAAAAGGAAAATGGGATGTTTCTAAAGAACAATCTGATCATCGGTGCCGTTCAAGCTCGGTTGGTTCTTCAATCGTGCCTCCCTCATGTGTGCAGATAAAGATTTCCTCACAATCACACAGACGCTCACACCTGATCATTTTACCCAACTTTAATCCAACATACATGAAGCATCTGAGTTAGTTTAAAGTCAACACACTGTGCTTTTAAATCCTTCTAGTTCACATTTAAATCACTCTGTTGGGATCTATATAAAGGGGAACTACAATGTTTTGGTCACAAAAGTTCACAAATAATTTGACATAACAGTTCAGAAAACGTCACAGAAAATGAAGAAAACTGAACGGGTTAAAAATATGACCCTTACAGAATATCTACACAGCACCGGGAGAGACTAAATTCATATTTTCTGCATAGAGACTCCGAGTACACAGCAAAGTGCCTTTAACAACAAAACAAAGTTGATTTTTGCATGATACAGTATGTCCCGTTTAAACAGGAAGATTTAGCTGTAAATTACATTTAATAAGTTGCCATACAGCTTTTGTCTTTGACAGCATTAATCTACGATATTAGCAAAATTTCCAAGTAAACAGTGAAAACAGAACACAATCAGTGGGTTTACATTTACAACTTTGTTGAAGATCATTTGATTTATGATGGCCACCACAGCTAAGCACCTTTAGCAATCACAAAATTAGCTGTAACTCCACAAATATTACGCTTATCAAGCTAAAATTCAGTGAGTCTTCCTCAGTACATACTCCAAACATTTACTGATCTCATGAAATTTATTTTGAAAACTTTGCCATTACCTGTTGTAGTCAACTCTGTCTGTTAGCAAAAAAATCKCATGCACTGCATGGATTTTAATCAAACTCTCAAAATGTAGTCATTGGGTGTATATTTG